CGCCCCGCCCCGCCACGCCCCGCCACGCCCCAACCCGCGAGCTGATAAGAGCAGCTTTTGCGCTGATGATGTTAGTGTTGATGCTGGCCAGGAAACTCGAGCAGCGCGGAAAGCATCGTTCGTCACTGATATAGAAAAATGGCGAGCACAACACGGCGACATACGGGCAGTAAAGCCCTGCAGGATAGACTTAATCCCCTTGTGTACCATCCTTGTGCGTCTCCACTCCATTGACGCGGTTTACGGAGATCAGCACGCGTCACAAAACACACCGCCTCTATTTGAAGCTATTTCGTGAAATAAAATGAAAAGTTCCGTAATCTCCTGTTTGCGCGGACCGCTATATACCAGCCGGCCGTATACCCCTGGGGGGAGGCGGTGGCGTGGCGAGGGCTGCAGCTCGTCAAAGTGTGGCAGAGTCAGGCGACGGACGGAATGCCATTATTTGTTTTATCAAGTTTTGAGCAGTGTGCACAGATAGTACGGGAAAACATCTGGCTGCACGGCGCAGCGACAAGCACGTCAAAGTATCAAAAAATTGAAAAAAAAATGAAAAATTTAATCTTGCTCCCTACTCAAGTACACGACAATGGTTTCTAGAAAACACCACTACGAGTTCTTTGGATTTTATTTCGTTACCCGTGTTCTTATACTAAGGTAGTATAGTTTTTAAAGCGCGCTACACAAGTATAAATAAAAGGGTACGTAATGTGTTTATGAACTCGGGGTATAGAGTGCTCGCCCGGTGATGCACTCACAAGGACGCTGCTCGACGTGGTCTTCTCTCTGTTCTCCTCGATGGGTATTCCGGGAGGTCCATCGACCTCTCAGGAGCAAAATAATAGCAAAGTACTCTTTTCCTGTACTCCGGCAGCCGGCAGCCGCTCGGTGGAATTGTCCATGGGCGCCTAATGAAACAGTGATTCGGAAGCTGTTGTTGCCCAGCTCCAGCTCTGCCACGGGCAGAGAGGTGGTGGAAGGGGGCAAGTGGCGAAGGTTGAACCAAGTAGTAAAGAGTTACATTTTGCCCCTCCCGCCGTAAATCATTTCGTTCAGCTCCCGTGTCGAAACGCAGGAATAGCAGAATCCTAATCCTCTGAAGACGTGTCCGTCAGATAAGACCGTACTGCAGCGCGCCTGTTTGTCGTCAAAGCCGCCAACCTGCTGACTCCCCAAGGCCACGGTCACGGGGATCCCAACATTGCGCGCCAACGGTTTGAAAACGGTTCCAAAGCGTGCGGCGATATACCAACGAAAATGAAAGCCGGCTGACGGACTGGCCCCTGGACAATTTGCTCCCCGAGCACGTCCAGCCCGTCGCCCGCGTCCTGCTGGGCTGCAGCGGATGTAGCGGGCTCGCCAGCACGTGAGTGCTGCAGGGCGTCAGTGAGACGCCAGGGTGAAGCCAAAGGGACGTCAAAGGGACGCCGCGTCGATCCTCGAACTCACTGACATCAAGGCCTCAGTCCCAAAGGGTCATGTCCTCGCGGCTTATCGGGTATCCCTCATCGTGGGCTGGTCCATGGACGGCGGCGAGGTGGCGGGGCAAGGTGCGTTGAGCACTTACGCCCTTCGCTGCCGTCAGCAACGCGACGCCGCCACGGGCGATGCCCCGTGAAATATCTGCAAGCCTGAACTGCCTGAACCCAAACCGAAGGACGCCCGGGTCGGCGACACACCCGGTCCTTCACCCAGCACTTCGACGACAGCCCGCGCGTGGCCCACGACTCGCGCGACTCGCCCG